CAAACAGGTTAACTTGATCATTAAAATAAATCTTTAACTTTTGTGATAATTTTTTTTTTCAATGTCATTAACTTGTAATAATGTCTTTACGTAAAAAAAATAGTCAATGTGGGAGTAAAAAAGCAAAATTCCCAATTGGAATTTGCATTTTTCCTACTCTTCCACCTGAAATGTTTATAAATATATGTCAATATTTACCACCAAAAGATTTACTTTCATTAGCTCAAGTTTGTAAATTGTTTAATGGATATTTGTGTTTTGAATCTTCAATTACTACTCAAGAAATTTGGCGAACTTCTAGAATTGAATTCTTACCTTTTTTACAAATGCCTCCACCTGAGGGTATGACTGAACGTCAATATGTTAAACTTGTATTAGAAAGAGGCTGTCAATTTTGTAAAAAACCAAAAATTCGTAAAGTCTATTTTGAATTTTTGGTAAGATGTTGTGAAGATTGTTTAAAATCAAAAACTATAAGGTATTATAAAATTTATTTTAATTTATTTTATTGGTTTTTAATGAATTATGAATAACGAATTCTAAATGAATTTTTGTGTAGAAATGATCAAATTAAAGAGATTATGCCAGAACTTTCTAATTTAGATGATATAATCTCTGGTTTACCATTTATACCTTCATGGTCTAGACGTGATTGGGATAATGATACCGAAAAAAATCCATCAAGTCTTTATTGGAAGACCGATGTTATTGAAACGTTAAATGAATACAATTCTATTCCAGAAAATCCTCCATCACTTCGAGAAGATTGGTTAAATCAGAAACAAAGAAAAGGTGATGAAAAAATGAAAGATATTATTGAACGTAAAAAGGAAAATAACAAAGGATTAAGGGAGAAAAATATGAAAAATTCTCAAAAGAAATTTGAACGCTCCAATTTAATTAAAACAAAAATTCTATTAATGAAGGATGAAAAGAACGAAAATAATTGTTTGAAGTTTGACAAGGATATTCTTGAAGATTGTCAAACTTATAAAAATTACATGTTTATGTTCCAACGATCTGCTCTTCCGTTTACCGAACGTGCTTGGTTACTTTTAAAAAATAAATTATTAAAAGAGTACGAAGAATCTTATGAACATAAAAGGCAACGTCGTAGAGAAAGAGAAAGTTCTTGGTCTAGAGAGACTGTTTTTCAAATGAGGCAATATGATATTTTTATTTTAGCGAAAACTTGGCTACCAGAATCAGTAAAATCAATCAAATCATTAGATTCTTCTGAATTACTCACACCATCTGATATCGAAATTCTCGACACATCTACATCTAGCACATTTAGCTCATCTAACGCATCTAACTCATTTAACGCATTTAACACATCTAACACATTTCATACATCTTCATG